TTTCATTCTATTTTTCCATGAACTTTTTGAAGCCACCTATTAACAGGTTGTGAGCATTCTGTTGAAGGACAACTGATACTTTTCCTTTAATGTTACGTAAATTTGTCCTCACTTTGAAACACATGAATCAATCAATCTCTACTTGAAACAAATTCTTCATCACTATCAACTTCATTTACTGCACATACAGCTTTTAAATCTTTGAAAAGGCTTTGCCTTTTCTTACACTAATAACCCCAGTGGTACATAGGTTTAAACGTAGTGCGCCTAAAAGGAAGGTCAGCCTATCGAACCCATCTACTTCTCGGAAGAAAGGTGAAACAGTCTGTTTCTACAAAAATTTATATATAGCCTTGGGAACCCTATGGAACTGTTTTACGCTGCCCTGTAGGAGCTCTGGTAGCATAATGGTTATGAGTCAGGCTGCTAACCTCAAGGTCAGCAGTTCAAAACTACCAGCTTTTCTGCTAGAGTTAAGATTTATAGCCTCAAAACCCCTATACAGGGTCACTTATGAGTTGGAACTGACTCAATGGCACTTAACAACAACAACATAGGCTTGCTATAAGAATCAGGTTCATCTTGATTGCAGTGGTTTTAGGTTTTCTTGCAGGAAAGTAAGGCTGAATAAGAACTGCATGCACCTATTCTGACTTACCTACAAATTCTTAGAGGAATGGATCTTGCATATAACTTGGGGACTACCTATAGTAGTTCCTTCTGTGACATTCCTGAACAGGTGTTCATTTGTCCGGCAGCTTAAAATGATTAGGAGACCCGTCCTCTGAAACAAGACTGAACAAGTAAACTCAGTCAGGCAGTTGGCCTCATCTCCAAGGATGGAATGTAGATGCCGGGTAGTCTAGTGGTCTGGACTGACTCTCTGGATTGAACAGCTCAGCTTATTCACACCTGGCAGTATGACTTGACATTAGGATTGACACTGCCACGTTAACCCACCCCACCCCACCCCCCAAAAAAAAAAACAAAAAACAATTTAGGATTGGTAGTCAATGTAAAGAAAATAAAAGTCCTTACCATTGTACCAACAAATAGCATCAAGGTAAATGGAGAAAAGTTTGAAGTTGTCAAAGACTTTGACTTTTTATTTTGTTCAGATCAACCATCAACACTCATGGAAGCAGCAGTTATGAAATCAAATGATATATTGCATTGGGCAAATCTTCTGCACAAGACCTCTTTAAAGTGTTGAAGAGCAAAAGATATCAGTTTGAGGACTGGGGTGTGCCGGACCCAAGCCATGGTGTTTTCAGTAATCTCATA